AAGGTACATACCAAAGTAAAAAGAAAAAAAAATCTAATAATCTTATTTCTATAAACTAGCTTACTCTGACCCATTTCCAATTACAACTATAAAGCAAAGATAGGTAGACCACTGATAAATTTTAAGAGTAAATACTAGACAAAACCAAATCCAGAGCTTCAATGAAAGGAAAATAATTTGACAAGACAGCACAGTACCTTGGTATCGAGACCTATGAAGTCGTCATCTGAGGTAGGCCATGAATCATCAATATTAGATTTCCTGGAACTGCTTTAGAGCAAAAATATACAAGAAAAACTAAGTGAGTTCCTTTCATTAGCAAAAAACTTGATGAAAGGCCAGCTATCTGCGTATTAAATGATGTTCTCCATATAATTACAACTTGACTCTCCTATGATTTGAATAAACGTTTGTCCCTGACCGGGAAGTTTGGCTACCAGTATCTTTGGGAGGTGAGACCTTTGAGAGGCCGGGCCTAATGGGAGGGCACCATTCAATCACCTGGAACATGGGAGGGACAAACAGAGGAGGTGGAAGAGTCCGGTCACTCTTCCTGTGTTCTCTCCGTCTCTGCCCCTCTCTTTCTCTACAGGTAGCTACTGACCTATCTGCTTCTCTGGGCAATGTTGTGACTAGTCAGAGGCCAGCCAGAAGTCAGGCCCTGCTTTTATACCTTTCAGGAACCAGAACTGTAAGCCGAGTGATCCACTGATTCTTTACAAACTACCCAGTTTCAAGTATTGCTGTTTAGCAATGTAATAACAAATGAATACAATAAATGGGCACAGCTAAAAGGGTGGGGTTGACAGACAACTGGGACTGTGGACATGGTTTGGAAATGGGTTAACAGGAAGAGGCAGTTACAAGTTTGGAGAAGCAGGCAAGTAAAAGCCTAGATGATGGTGAAGCCTTGGAAGAAGAAAGATTTAGAAATGAACAGAAACCTTTTTTTGGGAAAAATAGAGCTAAGACACTTGTGGGACAGATATGGTTTATTATCTGTTGAGGAGGATGTGTACAGTATTCTCATGTGGGCGGGACTGAGGTGTACATCATGCTTGGTAAAGACTCCTTACAATACAAACGACGTATAGCAACAGAATGTATGGATAATAATACTAATGATAAATTAAAAAGAAACTTTTTAAACATTGAATAAAGGTCTGAAATAAGAATATTGATAGAAATAGAGAGAGTGAAAGCTGCGCTCAGGTTTCAAAAAAAGGGGAGATTGGGAATAGCAGTTGGCATAATGGCTATGTCACTGGACTCCCATGTACTCCTATGGACTCCCATGTACAGTTTGAATCCCGGACCCAATGGCTTAAACTCACGCCAGACACGTGTGTGCATGCCCAAGATCCTGAGAAGACAATAAAAGACAAGAAAGTGTGGCATAGCCATCCCCTCCCCGGGAAGTGATTTCTCGATTTCTGTCTCTCTGATTCTCTCTGACGTTCCAGTGAGCACACACGCCCTATAGCAAAAACCTCTCGGAAAAAAAAAAACAATCTCCCTGTTGGCCAGATTGTAAACAATGATAATATTGATATAAATAATATGTCAGACTGTCTTACTATATCATAGCTATTCCTTATGATATTGTCAAAGATACTGTCAGACACACATGAAGGGGGATAAAATACTATTCTAAATAGGGACCAGCAAGTGGTGTGGACTTGAAGGCGCTGGATCCCGCATGACAGTCAGTGCTGTTCAAGGCCCAGTCCTGGCACCTTGGGCTTGTGTGTATGCCCAAAATTCTGTGAGGAGACTGTAAGAGAAGTGACTATGGCATCGCCAATTCTCCCAGAGGACGTCATTTATCCCCCTTGCCCGTGTTTCTGTCTCTGGAGAACACTCATGCCATACTGGGAGATAAGAAAGAAACTAAAAATATAAGTTCTCTTCAGTCTGTCTTCAGTGTTGGCATGGTTTTTATTACATACTAATCTGTGCATGACAGTTCAACATTTCAAGCATCACTTAGAGGCTGAAGTATATTAGGATATTCCATATCTGCATCAATTCTTAATGAATGCCCTTACATTAAAAATCATACATGAAGAGGGGTTTTAAGAATAATTATTAATAATGGTTGATCAATATTTAAAACATAATGTAATAAGCCCTCTAATACTTAGTAAAACAAACAAATTTAAAAAACATGTTCGGTGATTTAGATCGCTACTAACAGCTTACAAACATACTCAAGAAGAATCGGTTTTACTATTTCATAAAAAGGAAAGAAAACTTCCTTGAATCCCACATTCTTCAGTTATCACCCAGTTCTCTCTTATCTTTAGCATACTAATTCTCCAAGAAGATGTCTACACTTCCTTACAGTCGAGCTTCCCTGGTAATTAATGAAACTAGTTTTGTCAAGGACACTTACTCTCATTTTAGTCACCTCCTCCATAGAATAAACAATTGAGTATTCCCGTGTTGGATCTGAAGACAGGACACTACTCTGGTTCATTTCTAGAAAAAGTCATCTCCGCTAATATTCCTTCAGAGAGAAATCAACACGTGAGAGATATGTACCTTTCTTCTTCTGAATCTGTTTCACAGAATCTTTTGACTTCAGTCAATTGCAGTGGACCACCAGGTGGTGACTTGGCCTTTTCCGTCGTTCCTAAATCCATCGACGTTTTGGAGGTCCGTTTCTTGTATTCATTTTTCTTACATTTATTTTCATAAGTGCTGGAGTTCCAATTTTGAAAAAAAATCCATGAAAAAAGACATTGGTTTCTAATCATTCTACTGCCAACTACAAAACCAATTTCTGTACAAAACCAATTTCTGTAAACTCCCACATCTTTCACATATGAATTCACTTTCTTGTTTAAAAAAGATTCTAAAGGGTCAACTACATACAAAGAACAGCATATTCTCAGCTTCAAAACAGGAATTAATAGAATAATGTGACACATCAGTCCATTGCTGAAAAGTTGTAACAAACAGAAAGAAGGCTTCATATTTGGAGCAACAGATGGCATAATGGCTATGTCGCTAGACTCCCATGTAGTTGACCATGGTTTGTGTCCCGGACCTGATGGCTTAAACTTACGATGAATGTGTGTGTATGCGTGCCCAATATGCTGAGAGGAGAATGGAGGATAAGGGGTTATGGCATGGACGTCCGCACACAGGAATGATTTATTGCTTTCTGTCTCTCTGTCTCTCTCTGACTTTCTGGTGAGCACATGTGCCCTACAGCAAAAACTTCTCAAAAAAAAATTCTCTCTGTTCTCCAGATTCTACACAACTTATAACATTGACATCAGGAATATTTTAGAGTAACTTCCTATATCATAACTAGTCCTTATGATACTGTAAAAAATACTGTCACACATGAAGGGAGATAAAATTCTATTGCAACTAGGGACCAGCAAGTGGTGTGGACTTCAAGGTGCTGGACCCCACACGACAGTCAGTGTTGTTCAAGTCCCAATCCTGGCACCCTGAAGAACATGCTGGGCTTGTTGTTGCATGCCCAAAATTCTCTGAGGAGACTGTAGGAGAAGTGACTGTAGCCTTGCCATTTCTCACAGAAGATGTCTCGTAACCCCTGCGCCCATGTTTCTGTCTTTGGAGATCACACATGCCATACTGGGGAATAAGAAAGAAACTAAAAACAAGTTCTCTTCAGTCTGCCTTCAGTGTTGGCATGGTTTTTAGGTCATAGTTTAACACTAATCTGTGCATGACGGTTCAACTTTTCAGTCATCACTTAGAGGCTGAAGTAAATTAGGATATTTCATATCTGAATCAATTCTTAATGAATGCCCTCTTATCTTAAAACCATACATGAGGGAACCAGCAGTTAGTGTAATGGCTATGTTGCTGGACTCCCACGTAGTCGACCGCAGTTCGCGTCCCGGACCCGGTGGCTTAAAACTCACGCCGGAGCGTGTGCGTGCATGCCCAAGATCCCGAGAGGAGAATGGAGAAGGGATTGCAGCGTGACCATCCCCTCTGGGGGGTGATTTCTCGCTTTCTGTCTCTATGTCTCTCTCTTTCTGTCTGGCGAGCACACACGCCCTATAGCAAAACTTCAAAAAAAAAAAAAAAAACCATACATGAATAGAAGTTTTAAGAAAAAATATTAATAATTTTTGTTCAATATTAAAAACATAATGTATTGGGAACCAGCAGTTAGCATAATGGCTATGTCGCTGGATTTCCATGTAGTCGACCGCGGTGCGCGTCCCGGACCCGGTGGCTTAGAACTCATGCCGGGCGCATGTGCATGTGTGCCCAAGATCCCAAGAGGAGAATGGAGGAGAAGGGATTGCGGCGTGACCATCCCCCCTGGGGGGTGATTTCTCGCTTTCTGTCTCTATGTCTCTCTCTTTCTGTCTGGCGAGTGCACACGCCCTATAGCGAAAACCTCTCAAAAAAAAAAACCATGATGTATTAAGCCCTCTAATTCATAGACAGTCAATCAAACTTAAATTAAAAAAACATGTCTTGTGCTTTAGATTTTTACCAACAGCTGACAAACATACTCTAGAAGAATCGGTTTTACTATTTCACAAAAAGGGAAGAAAACTTCCATGAATCCCACATTCTTCAGTTATCACTCAGTTCTCTCATGACTTTAGCATACTAATTCTCCAAGGAGATGTCTACACTTACTCACAGTCAAGCTTCCCTGGTAATTAATCAAACTGCTGTTTGTCAAGGACACTTACTCTCATTTTCTCACCTCCTCAACAGAATAAACTATTGAGTATTCCCATGTTGGACCTGATGACACGACACTATCCTGGGTCATTTCTAGAAAAAGTCATCACTGCGAATATTCCTTCAGAGAGGAATAAAAAACTGATAAATATGTACCATTTTTCTTCTGAATCTGTTTCACAGAATCTTTTGACCTCAGGCAATTGCAGTGGACGACCATGAGGTGACTTGGCCTTTTCCGACATTCCGAGAACTGTTGGGGCTTTGGAGGACCTTTTCCAGTTTTCATTTCTCTTGCCTTCATTTTCCCAAGAGCTGGAGTTCCAACTTTGAAAAAAATTCATGAAATAAGCCATTGGATTCTAATCATTCTACTGAAAACTACAAAACCAGTTTCTGTAAACTGACATATCTTTCCCATCTGAATTCATTTTCTACTTTAAAAAAGATTCTGAAGGGTCAACTATTACAAAGAAGTGCATATTCTCAGCTTTCAAACAGGGATAAATGGAACAATGTGACACATTACTCCATCACTGAAAAGTTATATGTAATCAGAAAGAAGGCTTTATATTGGGACCATCAAATGCCGTAACGACTATGTCGTTAGACTTCCATGTAGTTGACCACAGCTTGAGTCCTGGACCTGGTGGCTTAAACTCAGGCCAGACGCGTGAGCGTTCATTCCCAAGATCCTGAGAAGAGACTGGAAGACAAGTGATTGTGGCGTGGCCATCACCCTAGGGAATGATTTCTTGCTTTCTGTCTCTCTCTCTGTGTCTTTCTGGTTAACACACGAGCCCTATTAGCAAAGACATCTCAAAAAAAAAAAAATCTTCTCTGCTCACCAGTTTCTAAACAATTTGGACCCTGACATCACTAATATTTTAGAGTATCTTAACATATAATAGTTATTTTTTATGAGACTGTCAAAGGTTCTGTCAGACACACATGAAGGGGGATAAAATTCTATTCCAACTAGGGACCAGCAAGTGGTGTGGACATCAAGGCGCTGGATCCCGCAGCACGAAAGTCAGTGCTGCTCAAGTGCCAGTCCTGACACCTTGAAGGATATGCTGGGCTTTTGTTTGCATGCCCAGAATTGTGTGAGGACATAGAAGTGACTGAGTGACACTGCCATTTCTCCCAGAGGATGACTTCTAAGCCCTGAGTCAATGTTTTTGTCTCTGTAGAGCACACATGTAATATTGGGGGGTAAGGAAGAAACTAAAACTTGACTTCTCTTTAGTCTGCCTTCAGTGTTCAAATGGTTTTTATGTCAGAGTTTAAGACTACTTTGTGCATGACAGTTCAACTTTTCAATCATTACGTAGATGCTGAAGTACATTATACTTATAGGATCATTACATAGATGCTGAAGTACATTATACATTATAGGATATTTCATATCAGAATCAATTCTTAATGAATGCCCTCTTACCTTAAAATGATACAATAGAAGCTTTTTTTAAATTTTGAACAGGAATTTTTTTTTTTTTTTTGCAATAGGGCTCGTGTGCTCACCAGAAAGACAGAGAGAGACAGAGAGATAGAAAATGATGAATCATCCCCCAGTGTGGATGGTCATGCCTCTATCACTTCTCCTCCATTTTCCTCTCGGGACCTTGGGCACACACACACACGTGCCCAGCGTGAGTTTAAGCCAGCAGACTCTGGACTTGAACTGCGGTCGACTACGTAAGAGTTCAGCGACATAGACGTTACGCTAACTGTTGGCCCCATGAATATAAGTTTTTTTAAAAAGTATTAATAATTTTTGTTCAAAATTGACAACATAATGTATTAAGCACTCTAATACTCAGTCAAACAAACTTAAATTTAAAACATATGTCCTGTGCTTTAGTTTGTTACCAAGAGCTTACGAACATACTCTAGAAGGATCAGTTTTACGATTTCATTATAAAGAAAGAAAACTTCCTTCAATCCCACATTCTTTAGTTATCACCCACTTCTCTCATGCCTTTAGCATACTAATTCTCCAAGGAGGTGCTCATACTTTCCTCACAGTCAAGCTCCCCTGGTAATTAATGAAACTGGTTTTGTCAAGGATACTTACTCTCATTTTAGTCACCTCCTCAATAGAATAAACAACTGAGTATTCTCCTGTTGGACCTGAAGACAGGACACTATTCTGGGTCATTTCTAGAAAAAGCTATCTCTGCTAATATTCCTTCAGAGAGAAATGAAGAAGTGATAGATGTGTACCTTTTTTCTTCCAACTCTGTTTCACAGCATCTGCTGTCCTCAACCAATTGCAGTGGACCACCAGGCGGTGACGTGGCCTTTTCCGATGTTCCTAAAACCTTCAGAATTCTGGAGGTCCATTTCCTGTTGCCAGATCTCTTGACTTTATTCTCACAAGAGCTGGAGTTCCAAATATGAAAAAATTCCATGAAAAAAGGCATTGGTTTCTAATCATTCTACTGATAACTACAAAACCAATTTGTGTAAACTCCCCAATCTTACAGATCTGAATTTATTTTTTTCTTTAAGAATGATTCTGAATCTGGAGTTCCAAATATGAAAAAATTCCATGAAAAAAGGCATTGGTTTCTAATCATTCTACTGATAACTACAAAACCAATTTGTGAAAACTCCCCCATCTGTCCCACCTGAATTTATTTTCTTTAAGAATGATTCTGAACGGTCAACTACATACAAAGAAATGCATCTTCTCGGCTTCAGAACAGGGGTAAATGGAATAATGTGACACATTTGTCCTTTCATGAAAAGTTGTAAAAACTGAAATAAGGCTTTATACTGGGACCAACCGATGGCGTAATGACTATGTTGCTACGCAATAATGTTGTCGACCAAGGTTTGAGACTTGTACCTGGTGGCTTAAACTCATCATGGATGTGTGTGCGTGTATGCCCAAGATCCTGAAAAGAGAATGGAAAACAAGGGGTTGTGGCATGGCCATACACCTGGGGAATGATTTCTCACTTTCTGACTCTCTGTCTCTGTCTTTCTGGTAGGCACACTTGCCCTGTAGCAAAAACCTCTCAAAAAATAAAAAGTTCCTCCCTGTTCACCAGATTCTGAATAACTTATTACACTGACGTCACTGATATTTTAGAGTATCTTAACATATCATGCTATTTTTTATGATTTTGTTAAAGATTCTATCACAGGGACCAGCAGATAGCGTAATGGCTATGTCACTTGTCTCCCATGTAGTTGACCATAGTTTGCATCCCGGACCCGGTGGCTTAAAACTCATGCCGGGTGCATGTGCGTGTGTGCCCAATATGCCGAGAGGAGAATGGAGAGGGGATTGTGGCGTAGCCATCACCCCCGGGAGGTTATTTCTCACTTTCTGTCTCTCTGTCTCTCTCTGTCATTCTGGAAGGTACACGCACCCTATAGCAAAAAACCTCTCTCTCAAAAAAAAAAAAGATTCTGTCAGACACACAAGAATTTAAAAAACAACTGCTGTGCTTTGGATCATTACCAACAACAGCTTATAAACCTACTCTAGAAGAATCGGTTTAACTATTTCATAAAAAGGAAAGAAAATTTCCTTGAATTCCACATTCTTCACTTACCACACATTTCACTCATGCCTTTAGCATACTAATTCTCCAAGGAGGTGTCTATACTTTCCTCACCGGGAAGCTTCCCTGGTAACCAATGGAACTAGTTTTGTCAAGGACACTTCCTCTTATTTTAGTCACCTCCTCAACAGAAGAAACAACTGAGTATTCCCGTGTGAGACGGGAAGACAGGACACTATCCTGGATCACTTCTAGAAAAAGCCATCACTGTTGACATTCCTTCAGAGACAAATGAAGGAGTGATAGATGTGTACCTTTTTTCTTCGGACTCTGTTTCACAGTATGTGTTATCCTCAGGCAATTGCAGTGGACCACCAGGCGGTGACGTGGCCTCTTCCGCTGTTCCTC